GAGGTCACCCCCGGAGTCTTCCTGGTCGCGCCCCGCCAGGCAGCAGCGGCTCCCCTCGCCGGCCAGGCCAGAACTAGACGTGTACGATTTAAAAAGCACCGAGAGAAAGACAGATGAAGGGCCTTAGTGTTAGCTGTGCTTCCAAGGCTTGACCTCCTGACCCCAAGACTAGACTAAGGGGCTTCCGGACCCCCAGAGACACACCATTCAACTGTCGCGGGGAAGAGAAAGCCTTAAAGAAACCGGCCACCACCACCCGCTCCGCCGCAGCGACCCGAGGCCGGAAGGGGCCGGGACATCCCCGGCAGCACCGCTCCCCGCCTGGCTGCTGCGCTCCGCTTTCGGGCCTCTGAGAAGCTGGTCAAAACCGCAGGCCCGTGGCCGCCCCTGGACAGAGAATCCACCAGAACCTGAGTCTCTGCTGGAAAAGGTTTTACACCTGTTGAGGCGGGCCCAGGACCCGAATTTCTTCCTCCTTTTTGAATTTAAAACCTGGTTATTGAGTTTACAGCTTTTGCTTAAAATACACTTTTGTTCGTATGTTTCTACTATTACAGATTTACATTATCTACCCTTAGAGATTAAAAACATTGAAAGACACCTTCTTATGGCTTAAGTAGGTTAACAGAAACAGCTACAGAGAACTGGTAGGAATTTGGATTGAATGAGAATGCAATTCCTTATGTTCCCTGCTATTTAGCTACCCAGGTGTCTAAACAACAAAATTTTCTTTCCCCAAGCCATAGGTGGAAAAGGAAAGCAGCTGAAAGATAATCCATGCAGTTTAATTTTTGTTGTGCTGACCTTTGCCACTGCATAACTTTACACACACAACCGTTCGTTTAAAAATCAATAAAAAATGGTAAAGTTTGATAAAGCTGTCATATATACAGGAAGGTCTCATTGATATTATTCTCTCTACCCTGCTCTGTAATGTTTCATAGTAAACGTACAAGACACAAATAAAATAAAAATGACAAGTAAATTCTGGTATTTTCTATCTTCATCACTGATATAGCCATACGAAAAACTACACAAAGCCACAGAGTGAATAATTTTTCCTTTTAGAATATGCACAGGCATATCAATACAATAGTTGAATTCAAAGTTGTTAGGATCTACTGACATAATACAGGATGTTTAAAAGTTTTTAAATTGAGAATTCTTAAAAGAGTTGTATGAAGACCTGTGTGTGAACAAATATTAATGCTTTTTCATTTCCACTCTTCGGAAAACCACTAAGCAGGCCTCTCTGCCCTTAGTGCATCACAGACTTTTTAGTGCTGGAGTATTATCTGGCATTTGGAAAATCCCTGGCATCTGAATCTGTTAAAATAGCAACCTAACAGAAGAAAAAAAATTAACTTCACATTTATTAATGTAAACTTGGAGATGCAGATGCTCCATTAGCATCAAAATTAAGCAATTTATTAACTACTCATCAGCCTTTTCTTCATTAACCATTTCTTCAGAAGCAAAATGTCTCTGATACAGTAAACCTAGAGAGTTCAAATAAATTTAGTTCAATTCCATGCTGTCAGGTGTTTCTAATATATAATCAAATTCCTTACCTTCCAACAACTTGGTTATTATGGATTGAATGTAATTTCTTCTCAGTCTATAGACTTCACAAATCTGCATGATTGTTTTAATGGTGTATTTACAGATAAGTTTTTATTTGCACATAAGGACAAAAAGGTGAAGTGAAATTTGGTCCCAATGGAAACCTGTTAGGTTCCCTGAACATATGGCTCATTGGGCTGTTACTTCCTTTTTGAG